CAATGGCACGTATACATGACTAAATGGCACGTATACATGACTCAATGACACGCACACATAACTCAATGGCACGTATACATGACTCAATATCACGTATATATGACTCAATATCACGTATACATGACTCAATATCACGTATACTTTACTCAATGACACGTATACATGACTCAATATCACGTATACATGACACAATATCACATATACATGACTCAATGACACATATACATGACTCAATATCACGTATACATGACTCAATATCACATATACCCGACTCAATGATACGTATACATGACTCAATATCACGTATACATTACTCAATAGCATGCATACATGACTAAAAGGCACGTATACATGACTCAATGACACGTACACATAACTCAATGGCACGTATACATGACTCAATATCACGTATACATGACTAAATATCACGTATACATTACTCAATGACACGTATACATGACTCAATATCACGTATACTTTACTCAATGACACGTATACATGACTCAATATCACGTATACATGACTCAATATCACGTATACATGACTCAGTATCGCATATACATGACTCAATGACACGTATACATGACTCAATATCACGTATACATGACTCAATGACACGTATACATGACTCAATGACATGTATACATGACTCAATATCATGTATACATGACTCAATAGTATGTTTGCATAACTCAACTGTACATATGCAAGACGTTTCACTAAATCCTAGATCCAATTGTAAACAACTGTATTACTACATTTCAAAACGTTTCGAACGGAAACTGGCGTAGACTGAACAAAACGTATGTTATAAAATTATGAAGATACGTACCACGCTTACAACTAAGTTTTGATGACAATACAACTTTAACACATTTAATCTTTTAAAAGAGTTTCTACCAGAAAACCAGTGTCGAAGTTATAATAATAATGAAAACTCTTACTAGCCCTTCCCACGGTGATGGTAATTATTCACTGAGGTCATATTTCACGTGTAATTTACAATCAAGAAATCAGACAAACCACATATACTTACGCATTTTGATGGCTTGCTGTCCCGTGATATTGTAAAGCGACGGCCCTTGCTTTACGAAGTCTGTCGCCTTCCACTTCACAGTGTATGATTTACAGAGTTTAAAACCCTTATCATAGATCACTGTTATCGGTGTTCTCATTTGCCTGAGACGGTCACTTCCGTTAAAAACTCCATCACCGTCAATTCGGATATCAACACGCCAGTATATATTTGGTTGGGGATTGAAAATATCAAGTCGTCGACTCTGGAAATAAAGTATAATCCGCTCACAGTCGAGCCATCCAGCAGCGACCTCTAGTTTCTCGTAATCTATGAGGAGAGTAATAATAAACATTACAACAAAACAAAAAATAGAAACCGTTCTCAAACTATTCGTTTATATACAATGTCGGGATTTCCAAGTTGGGCGTGTTTTCTTGTATGTCTTGCTAAATCTCATGCATGTATGAATCGTAACACTAAAACTCAGTGATAGGAGGTGATAGTAATGCAAGATGACTGGGTACTACAAGTAATATCGCGGGAAAGTACCAATTAACACATGTTAAATAAATAGTAGTATAATAAATGAACATCGCAAAAACAATAACCATAAACTACGAAACCAAAATATAGCACATGCCTAACACGTGCAAAATATCTACCATCTGTCCGTGTTTTTTTGTCACGTGTTATTTTTTTTTAAAGTTCTAACAGACATATCCGCCATTTTGTGTTTTTCCAGTCGCCTTATTGTTCCTAAAATAATTCAATAACACCATGATTTGGCACTGACTTATTGTTTGAATTGAAGTACTGATATATGATAAAAATAATTGATACTAGTATGGAACTCATAGCGACGTATATAACGCATGTAAAACACATGTTTGTTTACGTGAAATTCGAACACGCGATGACGACAATCGGCCTTTAAAGCCGCTCATTGTCGCTATATGAGGTAACCAGGACTGCACTGCATTTCGAACGGGATGCTGACGCTGATGAACTGAATTATACCAGGCACACCTCGTGAAACCAACAAATGGTGTGTGAGGTAACGCTTTTGACAAAAAACAAAACGAAACAGAAACACAATAGGGAACACTATCTATGCTCAGGTTTTAGATTTTAGATTTGTCAGACCGTGTGTGTCTTATCCAAACTCTGACGCCGTCTTGTGATACTACTCATAGCCTGGACATCAAAAATGTGTTATAATATTACCTTCATATTTAATGCGCCGAAACTGAAAATAAAAAAAAATACGTTATAATATTATGTCAAATAATATATTAAAACGGCACATCTACAGCCTCAATTCATAAAACAAAATTTTCTTCATAAAAAAAAAAAAAGCTTGATATTCAATATAAAACAGAACAACAACTTACTCCACCATTTAACTCGACGCCGTCGGCGATCAATGCAAGTAAAATCAACGAAAAAATAAACCGAATCATATTTGTTACTATGGCTACACCCTTCGAATAGTAATATAAATATACTAAATTTACCACGCAGGGTAGAGTTAGTTAGTATGTTAATTAGTGAGTCTAATCTGTTACATCTCATAGTAACTGCGATTGATGATTTTGATAAAGTCACGAAACGAGGACGCAGATGTTAGATGGATTATTACAACACCGCCAATATGTACTGGGTGGACGACATTTTTATGTAGATGAACCAATTATATTTTAATAAAATATTACATAAAGCATCGGTAGATCTTTTGTTCCCAAGATGTAAGAACTTGTCTGATTGATAGAATATTATAAAATTACCCCGTCCCGTTTTATCAATAATATTGCTAGTAAACCAAGAACTAAAAAATCCTTCGTATGTTTCGTCAATTATTTCATTTACCCCAGCATACTCTCCGATTTTCAAAAATCCCTCAAAAATCGACAAATTGTATAACTGAAAGCGTTTACGAGTTTGTGACCATATATTTATAGCTTTTGGTCCCAAATATATATTTTAACTATCAAATTTCACGAAAATATATATTAAGTTTACCGTACCAATCGTGTCGGAGATATTCAGAACGACATACGCATTTAGTGTTTCCACTAAGCTAGCACTATTTATTTCCGCCACTTACAATTTGTTGATGCATTATATATGTTAGGCACAGACATTAAGTCCATTCTATGCAAAGCCTTACCCAAACACTAGTTAATATATGACCTGACCCCCGAATTCACCACGCCAAACAGTAACAGTAAGTATGCCATGGCCTCAAACTCAAGTGTATATATGTCATCACCCCGTAACTTAAAGCGAGAGGGTTGTCACCTGCGCACATGCAGGAATTGAGTCCCTAAAAACGCAAAGGCTCATGGGCAGACGCTTGTTTGTGAACAGTTACACCAATCCAATACAATGAGTATTTTCGTATCCTTTTTCAAAACACTTAATTAATTCAACGGTCGGATGTCACAGGTTGTGCATAAATCCGTTACTTTATACATCAATAACTTTCACTGGTGCGTGGTAGTGCAGAATTCAGACATGTTTTGGTTTGCGTTCCTTGTATTATTGGCACCCTTCGGAGTTGAGTGTGCTGAATTAAAAGGAGGGGTAAGTAAATTTGATTTCCGTGTTTAACAATATTAATAGTAGAATTGATGTTTGCATGTGAGTGGTGGACATATAATATTATGCCTTGGCATATTGAGTCGGAGTAATATGTTATTGGGTCGTGTTGTAATTATTATGTTATTTACACTATCTACTTGTATTTTTTATTTTCAGTTTCGTCTCATTAAATATGAAGGTAATGTAAACATTATTCATGTCCTGACTATCTGAATCCTGTCTGCTGGATTACGTGCGTGAGTTGAATATCGACTGTTTGTCAGGTGCACCAGTGCTTTTAAAACATGGCATCGATTGCATGCCCTGTAGTTCTGCAATGATTTGATAGTGTGATTTGTAGGTATTCATTTTTTGTGTGGAGTGGAACAACCCACTTACATTTCATAAAAGAACCGAGATCGTTAGGTCTCACCACTTTACTTCACCTGGGTTTCTCGAACTTTCGTCGAATACTACTACTTTATTAATAGCCTCTCCCTGTCGCCCGAGACAGAAACCAGCTCTACGACTAGCCCCCATGAAAGAACGTCTTGTTCGATATGGGACTCATATCGACGTATACAACGCGTGTATATATTATTTGAAAAGTAACTGACAAAAATAGTTGCTTGCAATGTCAACCATGTTGTCACAATGTGTGATATTTTTTTATTTTCCTTTATTACCTTTTCGATGTTGAAAGTTAGGCTGTATGCCCCAAAAATTTCGTTTCAAGATTAGTAATACTTCAATAACCCTGAACGTCAGCATAAATGTCGATTCGGGAGGGCCACGATTCGTACAGCACAAGTATGTTTACGTTTACTGATTGGGTAATGGTATGTTATTAACACGATAGCTAGGCGTTTAGTGGAGTGAGGCATAATGGGTCGGATCGAGTTCTTTTGGGCAATTACAACAAGAACCGATGGGTGTACACATGTATCCATGACAATAGTTACGTATCGATAGTTACGTAAGATGGTTGGATCTATTCCTTCCTCCCTTCGTTCATTCATTCAATAATCGACACCCCGCACATATACCCGCCCTCCATCCACCATACAATACAGCTTATACGTCAATGTCTCCCACAGATTACGAGAGACTTAAGATTGCTACTGGCTGGCTTGACTGTCAACGAATTGTCTTTTTTATTCAGCGTCGAAGGGTGGAATTTTTCAAAGAAGCCAGGAACATAAACTGGAACACCACGCTTACAATCCGAGGAGACGGAGGATTTCTCAAGGCTGACAATTTTACTGTAGAAACAAAGGCAGCAACAAAAACCATAATCTACGATGACGAGTTCAAATCATGCAAGTCATATAAAGTAAAGTGGTTAGCAAAAGAGATTACTAAAGCTAATGGAGTCCCTCAACTCGTCATACAGGGAGAACAAGTTGTAAAAATGCGTAAGTCTCGAGTAAGGCAAACACAGTTATATCTGTTTCTGGTCGGCACGCGGGTCATTTCCAAAGCATCTCGGATTTTTATTTTAAACACTAAAAAGGAATGTTCTTGTCGCTAGTGGCGCAATATCTTGCTCACACAAGCACAGATCGACCTATTTGATGTATCCTATTTTCAAAAAATGAAGAAACAAAAAAAAAACATCTGACACCGCATAATTTTTACAAGAGATTTTGGGACCAGAAGCATTGCATTGTGGGAAATCAATGTCTGAATACGGAGGCGAAACGTGAATTCGTATCTGAATAGGCAATGAGGTGTTACAGGCACCGTATATAGGCGTTAGTGGAGGAGGCATAATTACGTTAGTCGGGAATACGTATCTGAATAGTTAATGAGGTATCACTAACACCGTACTTAGGCGTTAGTAAAGTAATGCATAATGAATGGGACCCCGCATAGATACTATGCTACAGTGGGGTATGTGTGGGGTATGTGTGGGGTATATGTGGGGTATGTGTGGGGTATGTGTGGGGTATATGTGGGGGTATGTGTGGGGTATATGTGGGTATGTGTGGGGTATGTGTGGGGTATATGTGGGTATGTGTGGGGTATGTGTGGGGTATGTGTGGGTATGTGTGGGTTGGAAATTATTTCAATTATGTTAGTCGTGAATTTGAATTATTAATGTTTTTTGTTCAACAGCTTGTAAATGTAAACAGTCAGTTATTGAAATGGAACCATTCAAACTACAAACTTTGAACGGCGCAAAGTACACTTTTCCTTCTCAATCAGAGTCTAGTACTCGAGACTACGTATTCCTACGCGAGTGCAACATCATTAAAACAAGAATATCCATCAATGGAAGCGTGACTTCGACAGGATCAACAGCAAAACTCAATTCTGTCCAATACGCTTTTCCAAATCTTGTACATGCGCCACATGTACTGACCATGAATCCACAGGGAAAAACAGTAGTAAGTATAGGTTTAGGTATAAATTGAATTCAAATCTAAAATGAAACAAATCATTGTTAATGGCACAGTCCCCGTTATTCATGCCTAAGATAAAGTAATATGGCCAAAAAGCCAGATGGCCCCAAGTGTGTCGTCTTTTATCAGGTAAATTGTTTCTGAATGGATTTATTACATGAATTTTAAATTTGCACTTTAATATATGGTAACATATATTTCTATTTGCTATTGCGCATATTTATGCAATTTTTATATCCAAACCCAACTGAAGTGCATGTCTCCAGTATCGCAAGCAAGTTCTATCTTATTTGTTTACTTTACAATTTAATGAGAACGAAGCATAAGTCAAACATGAATGTGTACCACGTGATCAACACACATTGTATTGTTTTGAATATGGACTTTGAGTGTCAGTTAAAGTTTACTTTACTGTTTGACTATGGACATTTAATACAACCTTTGGATAATATCATAGGCGCGTATTATGATGAATGTGACAAAACTGTGAGACTGTACATGGGTATCAGAGATTTAGTACTTATGCCAAACAAAGAAGATTACCAGCAGTAGACCAGCAGTCACCATGCACACGTATCCCTACATGCTAAACAATCAAATCACAAAATTAACATGTATATA